CTGGCATATTTGTTTCCAAAAGGACCACTGTCCTGTTCCACTCGAAGCACCGTTCAGTTACACAGGCTGGTTTCCCCGAGGTGTTTTTTAAAAATCTCATCCTTTTTGTGTTTGCCATTTGTATCTCTTATTGTAACTACTCTGAAGGGCCCATGAATGAGAGCACTCTAACAAATGTTGATTGTCTACCAATGATAAGTTAACATGGCTTCACTCCCAAACGACAGGATCTTTCCAATAAAAGAGGAGAGGGTAGATTCCTCACATTGGGGATGACCGTCTACAGACTGACACCTGATAGTACATGTGTTAAAACCTCATATTTTACAATATAAGGAAGCTTGCATTATACTGTCCCTTCTTCCTGTCTCCTTAAAGTTATTGCACCAAATTGTCTCCAGTATTGAGTGTTTCAATACAAGTTACAGATAAATCCTATTGAAACCATCCTACAGTCTAGTACACTAATCTTATAGATTTTTATTATCTCTATTCACTATTGAAAAAAGGATGTCATAAGCAAGCCAAGTGGGCTTTCCAAAATGTTAGATGGCAGTATTGGCAAAATTCAGCACAAAGCTCACTGATCTTCATTTTCAAACCACGAGCATCGGCTGCAATGCCAATGAATATTCTGACACTGGTACTAAACCCTTTTTATTTCGAACTTGAGCAGAGGTCATGGTTCCTGTAGTCCTTTTGAAAGACCAAGAAAATCACTGTGAGATCACTAGGCCTACATCTTTTCAGTACACCAGATAATCAACTAAGAATAACACTCTTGCCTCCCAGCCTTTGAATGAACTTGGCTGCCTCTTGAGTGGTAATAATGAAGCAGCTTAAGCAAAGAATATAATGACAGGAAGGAGAAAGAAACTGAGGAGCACATTAGAGACAACTAAAGAAACTGTTTCTCATATTATAATAATGGGAAATGCCATCTAGGTTCCTGCTTAACAATAAATCTGGGAAAAGCAAAAGGGAGGATTATGAGGTTGTAGACGACTAATGAAAACAGGTGTCATTGTTTCAGGCCAACTTCTCTCCCCTTAGATCTGTACCAACAGCCACCTACAGGTAACCAGATGAGATGTATGTCAAAACCAAGGCTCCAGGCTGGCCCAGGCCTTTTACTTTCAGCCTGCGTTCTGTGACCACAGAGGGAATTCAGGGCTCCCTCTGTGGCACGTGAAGCCCTGCAAATGCCTATCTATGGCTTGGCCTCTCTCACTGCTGCTCCCTCTGCCAGCCAGACTGAGCCCCTCCCCGGGCAGACTCTACCCTCGTGCATCTGCCAACAGTGAGCATCTCCTGACAGGGGCCATTTCCTTGGAGAGGTCTGGATCTCCTACTGCTCAGTCCTCTGGGTTACCAAACTCTTAAGGAAGCACAATTATTTCCTATCCTAGAAACATTCGGCCACAAGCAATTTGTTTCTTTCTCCTGTTTTTGCTTCAAGCTCTGTTCGCTTTGATGCATATATGTATACCAGGCTGGTGCTAAATCCTTTACAATCATTATATAATTTAATCTAATCATTTTTATGCTTACAGAAATCCCTCTAGCTAGGTCTTATTACCCCCATTTAACAGATAAGAATTCTGAGGCCCAAAATAAATGATGCAGTTTGCCTAAAGTCACAGAGTTCAGATTCCAAGGACCATGTGGTTGCTATAATTATATCACTGCCATCAACCTAATCTCTATATGCCATGTTTGATTTTTATGTTTCTTCATTATATTTATCACTGACATTATATAACTCTTCCACTTAAGGCCATTACCTTGAGAAGGATATTTAATCAACCTCATCCTTAAAATGGGAATTATGGTAGCGCCCACCTTAATGAGGGTGGTGTGAATTAAGGGAGTGACATTGTAAGAGAATAAGAACGATGCTTGGTCAATTGTCAGCAATATGAAAGTGTTAACGCTGACTATCGGCGGCATTGCAGTAGTGAACACAATAGCAGCAGTAACAGCAGTAGCAGCACACTTGGGTGTTGGAGGGTTTATTATGTCTCCCGGACCAGAATGTCACTCCTTGAGGACAGACTCTGTTTTGTTCACTATAGAACTTGCATCGTCAAGAACAGTGCTTAGCACAAAGTAGAGGCTTAATGACTATTTGTGGAATGAATGAATACATAAGTGACTTCATTCTCTGTGACTCTAGGGATTTGGACCGGGGGTGGGGGGCGAATGTTGTCCCTGTTGTCAGAACTGTCCACACCTGGCCCAACACCCGCATATGTCCAGGTACAAAGTGGGCACCATGTGGATTCTCTGCTGTGCCTCATGCTGATGGTCACCTTTCTTTTTTTAATTAATTAATTTATGTTTAGAAAGAGAGGGAGAGAGGGGAGAGAATCATCGATGTGTGAGAGAAATATCCATCAGTTGCCCCTCCCACACCTCCAACTGGGGACCTGACCTATGTCCCAGGCATGTGCCCTGACTGGGAATTGAACCTGCGTCCTTTTGGTTCACAGGCTGGCACTCAATCCACTGAGCCACACCAGTCAGGGAGATGGCCTTCCTTCTTGACATGTTCTCCCCAAGGACCTCATGAAAGGCCGAGTCATTCTCCATTTTCTCCAAGTCGTCCTCCCCATTCCATCCCATAAAACGATCTTGTCTTAAATTTATTGCCATAAGGCCTCCTCACTGGTAGGTGATACATCATTTCCCTCACAAACTAACATGCTATTCACGTTTTTCCATTGTCCCTCGAAACTCTAAACTCTATAAACACTGATGCTGTGTGACTATGTGGTTTCTTCAGAATTTTCTGTGTGTGCGCTGATATTGCATCAGAGATGTGCTATTATTTACCCTCCACTTGGCAATGAATGCCTTCATCCAAAGGACTAGCTTTAACGCTAACAGTAGAACTCAGGCTCATAAGCTGGCATCTTGGGGGGGAAATGGTACAGATAGAGCGTGGAAAAGCCCTGTTATATATACTATGTGTTTTGGTTTCCCTGAAGCAAGGATGGTAGTGTCCTCTGGTTTGCCCGGTCAGCTTCTTCTCCTGACTCCATTAGAGACGCAGGCTTTATTCCAGACTGGGTAAGTTTGGAATTTAACTTCCCAGTCTGCTATGAAAAGTAGCAATATCCTCTGAGACAAATTGTGAGTGGGATAGAAAATAGCAACGAGCAAAGAACAGAAGGAGAGGGCAAGAAATCAGTGCGGTGTGCAGCAGAAGGGAAAGGACCAATCAGAGTGAAATGGGAGAGCAAGAGAGAAATCTACTAAACCAATCAGAAAACAGGAGGAAATGGAAGGGAAATATGGAGAGCAGAGGAATTAGCACAAAAGAAGGTGATGAAATGCAGAGGACTCCACGAGACAGCAGAGGCAGCCAGAGGGAAGCATGGCTACAGTAAAGAGATAGGACACAAATGGACGAAGACACGGAGTAGCCAGTCAGTTAACTAGGTAAGAAAAAATTGGTGGTCGCAGTAAAATGCACACTGTTTATAATTCTGGTGGTTTACAATATTCACAATACATCTAGGTGTTCCATTTAATCTTATTAAGTCATAGTCATAATTTCATTTATTACATGCAACTGAAAAGTTGCAGTGTATCGTGTACCGAGGGCCCCTTATTAAGGGGTAGAAGTGAAGTGATGGAGTTTCACTTGTAACCCATTATTATCCAGACACCAATTAACCTTACAGTGCTGGAAAATTCCTGGCAGTGCCTGGCTGCACTAAGCATTGTTCTGAACAATATAGCTATCCCAGTGCCTATTTACAGAAACAGAAGCAGTTGTTTCCGAGAAAGTGATAAATAATTTTAATGCTTTGCCCAATTAGCTGTGAAAAAGAATGTGGTCCCAGTGGAGTTTTCAGAAAAGCCAATTCACATACATACACACTTCTCTCTCTGCTCCCAATGCTACCCCAGTTCAAGTCACCACTGCACCCCTCTTGAAATATTAGGGTACTCTCTTAGCTCTTTTCCCCGCTTCCATCCTGGATCTTTCAAGGCTCACAACACACCCAACCTGAACTTCTAAAAGTCTCATCCCTCAGCGTCTGTGGACTCTATGCAATGGTTTCCCACAGCACAAGGGGTACACCTGAGTTCCCACAGGCACGGCTATGACCCGGCCCCTGTGTGTCTCCTCTCTCTGTCCCACTGTGCTGCTCTGCTTTCTTCTCCTCAGGTATGCTGCCACCCTCCTTCCCATCCTATGGCCTTCATGTACATCCTGTCCAAAAATTGGGACACTCCTCCCCATTTTTAATCTGGTTAAACAATACTCAAGTTTCCTGTCTCAGCATTAACACTGTTTTCCTCATAGAAGCTTTGTCTGACCCCCAAGCCTAAAGCAGGTCATTCTGTTACACATGCTCACTGCTTATTTTACTTCTACACATCAATTCCCATTACTCATAATAATTATTTTTAATGCTTATCTGCATACTTCTCTGTGTGCTTTCTGTGACCCTCAGTTGGCTGTGAGTCTTACTGAAATGAAGGCCTGGTCTACCTTGACCTTCACTGTTTCTGCAGTGCCTTCCTTGGTTCCTGCCACACGACAGGCACTCAGTATGTTGGATGAAGAAGTGAATAAAATGTGCATTTCCAACATCCTAGCATTGGTCACAGTCCAGAGGAGTCTGCCTCATGCAGAGCCCATATAATGCATGCAATGCTTTCTATGCACTTATTGCAGGGAGAGAGAACCCTTCTGCCCTTCGTCCCCCTCACCTGTTCTGAATGTCCTGTGTTGTAGCAGGAGAGCGAGAGAGAGACAGCAAGCCCATGAGTCTTTCATAGGTAGAACACTTGTCACTGTCCCCATTACAGCAAAGTGACACTCAGTATTCAGAACCTTTTTAGCTGTTGTAAACAGGGGGTTTGCAGTCCTAGTTAGTTGAGATAGAATTGAGCTGAAGGGCAGACTTTGGTTGGAATAAGGAGAAGCATTACCGGCAATTTGTATAAAATAAGGGAGATGATATCTCTGGTCCTCCACTTACCTGACACTGCTGTCTTCACAGCAAGTCTCATATTATCGTCTCCTGATGTGCTGTCGCAGCTCCCTTCAGACTTGTCACCGATCCATCACGCTTTATTCTGAAACAAGAGTGTCCAAACCTGTACTTCTTAGTGTAATGACTGGTCTCGTATATCCCAGGATGACTAACTCAAAAACTTGAGTAAATGTTGCCAGTTAAGTTGGAGTGGCTTCTAACAAGGCCAGATTCAATCTAATGCAGTTTCCAGTTGCCTTCCTGCATTATCCAATACAGTTTGCAAGATACTGACATAAACTGGCCTATTACATGGTCCATGTTCCTTTCTAGTGGTAACAGGAACTGTGAACTCTAACATGAGGCATCAGGTCAAATTGTTAGGGTTTGGTGATTCTCTTCTGCAGCCAAACCTGTTTGTAGTTTTCAGAATTCTTGCCCACTGATGGTACTAAGCACTTGGAACCTCTCATCACAGAAGGGCATCATGTATACAATGACCTTTCCAGTGGCTAGATTAGCCCATGTCAACATTATATTTACTATTGAAACATAATCTACTGTTATTTGTATCTGTTTACTCAGTGGCCATCTGCAGAACCATAATAAATACCAATGGAACTGGTGGGGCAAGAAAAATACATTGATAATCACTGACTTGGACAGACTGAGTGGAAAGGGTGCCTCCATCCAAACACCTGTCTCCCACCATCTGCACCATCACTTCCCCTTCAGCCGCACTGCTCACCCCTACAATTAGCCTGTCACGAGGGGGTGACTGCAGCTCAGGTGGATTAATACGGCCCATTGAGTTTAATGTTGATTTAAACTTTAATGTTTAAAGTAACTATTTCTGTTCTTGCTATAAATCTATGTGTCTGTGCTTAATTGGGAAAATGAGTCCATCTAAGGCAAGAGCCACGTCCTGTGTTTTGTGAAGAGACTACATCAAATAAGCAGATGATGGGCTGTCCAAAGCTCTAAGTGAAAATAGCAGAATGATGCATAATTCATGGTTGCAGTGAAGTTAAAAGAGAAGGTTAATATTTTAATGTGTTCTTAAGAATTCTTTCCCTCAAATTCTCAGTACGAATATAACAATTGTCTGTATATAGCTATAAAGGAAAGGGAAGGGGTAACATGTAATCCAGACCTGCCATGCGCTGTTCGGTGTGATGCTGGAGAATTTATATTCATTTTCTCACCTAATAAAACAAGGTGAGTGTTCTACAAAAAGGGACCTGGGATCAGAGAGTCTGTGCATCTTGCAGTACAAGCCTAAGTGTATCTGTTTCAGTGCACGTGTTCTTCCCTCTAAGTGGTTTTATCATTTACCTCATAGTACATCAGTCTGGATGATTCAAACCTCCAACAGTCTCACTTCACCATGTGTGAGATATTATACTATATTCCCTGTAGAAGACAAAAAATTAATTAGAAAACATGGAAATCGCAAAGGGTTGTCCACCCAATTACCTAGATATGACATCATTAGCACTCAAAGTAACTGGATAACCACAATTTCTCTGTTTCCATCCATTCACTCTTTCATCCAAAACATATTCTTTTCATTGCCCATATGTGCCGGGCACTGGGATAGACATGTTGGGTGCAATGACAAGCTAGACAGATAGGCTCTCTGTCCCAATGGAGCAAACAGTGACAGGGACGAAGGCAGAGGGAGCAACTGAGATGGCAACCACAGCCTGCATTTCTGGTAGTAGCTCTGGAGGCCACTGGGCGAGTACCAAACCTGAATCCTGTCCCTCATACCAAAGGATATGCCACAGAGAGGCTGAGGGGGTGAGCTTCTGTCTACTGTCTGCACAGTGCCCTGAGAGGAGCAGCCTGCCAAAAGCCATCTCTCTGACTGCCACCACCCCATGGGATCCAGAAATGTGAATCCCCTTGGCCGCCAGAGCCAGACAGTCAAGGGGCTTCCCCTGGGTGGCAGCTGGAGAGTCAGGGCACCAGATGTAAAAACCAGGGCACCAGCCATGTGTAAAACCCCTTCCAGGAGACACTAGAGCTCTGAAGTGTGGCAAAGGGAAAGTGTAAATAAAGATAGTGCGCACCCTCCACGGTTTCTGGAAAGAATTACAGCCAGTCCCTGGATGCCCGTTTAATTAGAAGCCTGCCCCTCAGGCCAAAGCCATGATAATTGGCTAACAGGCCCCCTTCACTAAACATCTAAACTTCTGGATCCTCTGGCTCTTGCTGTGACCTTGGGGTGGGAGCTATTTAAGAACTTTTTCTCTGCTGCTTACAGTCCTGTGAGACCTACTAGGTCACCAAGCCATGCAATGTAGCAGTATCTTCTGGCAGCAGCTGCAAACATGGGGGTGTCAGACAAGGGTAGGAGCTCGTTTCTGGGTGATACCAATGATTAGAATCCCATGAGACACGAGCTCCCCTGGCCTCCAGAGCAGGCCATCAAAAGGCCTCCTGGGGGTGGTGGCTACCAAAGTTTGGGGGCACAAGAAAAAGCATGTGGCAAAATTCAACATCCATTTATGATAAAAACTCTCAACAAAGTGCATGTAGAGGGAACATAAATTATCATAATAAAGGCCATATTTGACAAGCCCACATACTCATTGGTGAAAAGCTGAAACTTTTCCTCTAAGATAAAGAACAAGGTTAAGATGCCCACTCTCACCACTTCCATGCAACATAGCCTGAGCAATTAGGCAAGAAAAGGAAATAAAAGACCGCCAAACTGGAAAACAAAAAGTGAAACCATCACTATTTACAGAGAACATGATATATGTAGAAAACCCTGAAGACATCATCAAATTGGAGTAATAGTCAGCCATATAAAAAATGAAATCTTGCCATTTATGAGAACATGGATGGACTTTGAGGAATTTTGCTCAGTGAAGTAAGTCAGACAGATAAAGACAAATACCTTCTGATCTCTCTTTTACATGGAATCAAAAAGAAAAAAACAAAGAAGCTCAGAGATACAGAGAGCAGATTGGTGGTTGCCAGAGGTAGAGGGTGGGGAAGGGAGAAACAGGTGATGGGGGTCAGTAGGTAAAAAGAAAAAAATACAGTGGATGTAAACCAGACAAAAATATTTACTTTTTCAGATATACTTCAACCAGGATATCTCATAAATCTGAGACGAGTTGTCAAAGGAGAAGTTTGTGATCGATTTTCTGGATTTGTCAACATGTTTATACCTCTACTCAGTATTTTATTTTTTGCAGGTATACTGAGGAAAGGCACAGTTCACCTCCAGTTAAAATCACAGCACCTCAGTGTTGACCCACAAAATTCCTATTTAAATTGTAACATACTCAGAATCACTCAGCAGCAAGCATATGTCATAAGTCCCTCCCAATGGAAAGTTTACCCCCTTCCTGGTCCTGAGCCAAGGGTAGATGATGGCACTCACTCACTCCTCACCTTTAGACTCAGTAAAGTCCACCAGAACAATCATAAGAGATACATGAAGTGTGTCATGTCCATTTCTTGGCTGTTTAGATGAAATGAGCTTCGTGCTGCTCTCAAATTAGATTCTCATCATGCATAATTCGCCCTGTACATTGAAGAGCTGCTGGCTTTTACAATGCTTTCAATCCAATGCTGAGAGTACCCATTGTTGGTGAGCAATACTTCTATGAAATCAGCTCCTGTGGACTATTTCTAATGCCAGTGATGATGCTGGAGCAATGCATTTGGGTGCAATGTACTCTGAAGAGCTATTTTGGAAGTTAGGGGTTATCTATCTGTTCAAATGTACATCTTTGTGTGTATGTGGGTATATATACTCACATACAAACACAGTAGCAGAGCTCATTAAACGGAGCTCAATAAATATTTTCTGTTGACACACATTATGCTTCCCTTAATGTACACACTTTGGAAATTTGTGCATACAAGACCGATACTCAATTGGTATGCAGCCAGGCTGGCTGAAGCAATTGTTCATGGCTGGAATTCCTTCTGCTTTGTCTAGCAGGCATTCATTTTGATTGGTTAATGCTTGTATCAAACCAGTTATTAAATATTTTTTATTATTGTTCTGGGTGCATATACCTTAATGTATTTGATAAGATACTTTATAAAACACTGACCATAACTATTAACAATTCGGAAATGATAGCAAAAAAAGTAGAGATATATTTATTGACTGCTTATTGCTGAGAACGTTGGTAAAGAGGAGGAAATAACCAGAAATATTATGTTCAAATTAAACAAGACATGTAGCAAAGAAGACCAACACTTTTGCACCTACATGATTATTTATTACAATGGTCACAAAACACACACTGAACATCTCAGCCCTAGAGCAAGAGAATTCTTCACTTCAAGTGCTTTTAGAAACCCCCAAATAATGGAAATATTTTTTAACATCGTTGAACTGAATAGATGAAATTTCTCTCTCTTGCTCTGCCTCTCTTTGCACCATCCCTGCCTTTTTTATAAAGAAAAAAAGTGACCAACTCCTTCATGCAATTAATCAAAAATACCCCAAAGCAACAGTATTCACAAATGCTTGAAACATATAATTTTTTAAAGGTAAGTATTTAAAATTTCCCTTGTTTGTGACTTGGGTGGACAAGTTTTTCTGTATCACTTATACATACATTCTTCTTCAGTAGTATTTACATAATCTGAGCTGGGATATTAGGAGTAATTTGGCCACCATTTATTTTGGGAGAAAATAATTAGAAAATTATTCTTTTATAAATGGATTTGACTGAATTTAAGTACTTGTTCTCAGCATAACTATTTCACTTCATTCAACTAGTTCTTTTCAAGTGAATTTGATCGAGTAGACTCACTTTATATTCAAGGTCTTTAGTCATTCTGTTTCATAAGACCAAAACCTATAAAATTAACCAAGAAGATCATGGTAAAGAATTTCCTACATCTATTCTCAACATCTAGAAAAAAACCATACCATTCATCATGAAAAAGGAAAAACTAAATCATTTTTTAAAGGACAGTTAACAAAAGCTATTCTACAACCACCAGACCTTAATCTTCTGATAAGCATTCAACTTTACATGGTAACTGCCTGTGATTTATCCCATTGGTAATAATGTAGAAATGCAATTGATAAAATATATTAAAAAAATTTCCCATCAGAAATACTTATTTCAATCTAAGTGACACAGGAAATTGTAGCTTACAAGGATTCTCCAAATGCATTTTCATGATCTGGTGTAACACAGGAGACTGAAGTGCGGTAGGTTTACTGCAGTGAGTACGTGAAACAGAGTTTATTCTTGTATGATTATTCATTAATTATTATGTTATTTTCCATATGAACAACTGTAAACCTACTTTTGCCCCACCGTGTATAGAGACTTAAAAAAAAACACTTTGAGTAAATCTTTAAAAAAGAAAATCATATTAACAAAATGTATTTAAAAGATCTCAAACATCATTTTCATACTTTAAATTATATATTAATACCCAAAAAAAGGCAGGTAGGTATAAAGATGAGGAATGAGGGAGGGAAAAGAGAATGAAGGAAATGATCTGTGTTTCTATCATGAAAATAATAAAGTCACACTGACTACTCACAGTGAAGGCAAGTCCAGAGTGATGCTTCATACCCACATAATGATACTGAACATTTTTGTCATTTCTTAGCGCTATCTTGGCATTTAACATTGATATCTCTTGATGATTTCCTTAGATTGCAATGATCATAGGATAGGTGCCTAGCCTTTTCTATTTAGGCCAATTTGTCTTTTTCTTCTTTTAAAGGGAAATCCATATGATTCTTTAAAAAATGTTTTTGTTCTTTAGTCTAAAAGGAAAAGTAACAGAAAGTCAATGTTGACATGAATAAATTTCAGTGTATACAGACGGGAAAATGCAGTATTTTTATGGTTTTATGGAAATAGCAACAATGTAGATGCTGCCACAGAGAAGTCTGTTAAAGACAAAACCCAAGAGTTGGATGACTGAAAAAAAAAAAGCCACTCAGAGCGACTGAAGAATTTGAAGCATTATTGAAGAGTTGCCGTTGAAGGTTTCAGGAAAAAGTAGGAAATCTGTCTGATACTATGTAAATAAAGCATACATAATGTCGCTACACAACAGCAGGTTGTCCCTCTCTCTTCCATTTTGTTATGACATACTGCAAGGCTTTATCACAGAGACCACGAAGAAAAAAATCACCTTATACAAACAAGTGCATATGTTTAGAGGGAAAGACTTAGCAATTGCATTCACTAATTAGGCAAAGCTTTTATCAGTAAATTATGGCTGGGCGAATTAGAAGGTATAAGCACCAGTGAAAGTTGAGAGTGGAAGTAGTTATCCTATAAAGGGTCATCTTCATGAGTTCTAATTAAGATTCATACAGAGAGTTATTTCTAACAATCAGGGGAGCTACTGTCTGATACTCAACTGAAAATTAGTTTATTTACTTACCCCAAAATGTTATTGAGCACCACTGTATGCCAGATACCACTGCAGACGCTAGGAGGGAAAAACCAATAGCTAAGTCTGTTTTGTTTTCTCACACAGGTCTGTCTAATAAAGGTATAAAGGAGAGAACGGCAAGTGATGGCAAGAGATAGGGGCTGAATGTTTGTGTCTTCCCCCAATTCAGGCTAAAGCCTTTATTCTCGACGTGATGGTAGTTGGAGGAGGGCCTTTGGGAGGTAATTAGGTTGAGATGAGGTCATGAGAGTGGAGCCCTCATGGTGGAATGAATGCTCTCGAAAGCGGAGATCAGAGAGCTTGCTCTCTGTCCACCTTGGCAGGACACGGCAAGAAGGCGACCCAGGGGAGGGTCCTCACTAAGAATCTGGCCACGATGGCACTCTGATCTTGAGACTGCCAGCCTCCAGAACTGTGAGAAGGAAATGTGTATTGTTTAAGCTGCCCAGTCTACAGCAAACCACGATAGCAAGAGACAATGATTTCAGGAGAGAAAGGGAGGAGGGGGATTTCGTCGGTAAGGTACGACATCTAGGATGATCATCAAGGTCTGTCTAGCTGTACAGTTTCTTTTTCCATAGACATGAACCAGAAATTGATTTATACCAAAGCAGATCCATAAGCTAGGCAGGTCTAAACCTGTACAGTTCACGTGCCTCTTAATAGTGAATGGTCTGGTGGAGAGAGTCAGGCCTGGGCTTGACTTTGGGTTTGGCCACTGTGCAGTTTCATCATCAGTTTAAGTTTTCCAACCTTTCTGGGCCTTGGGAACTGCTTATGTACAACAAGGGACCAAAACACTTCCAAAAACAAAAGCTTCCAGAGTTGCTGAATCTTGGGCAAGAACCACAAACATGTGCCGGTGTTCTTGGATGAAGATATTTGACTTAGCCTCATAAATAGCTCACCAAAAATCTGTTACCATTCCTAGAAAAAAATAACTGACATCATGTTCTCCTGTGGGTGATTTAGTTGAATCATCACTAAATAGGAAACAGAAAACCTTAGTTTTCCCTGTAGATGCAAATGAAGGAGAAACAAAAACCAAATATTTGTTAGATGGCGCTTTACGATAACTCCTAAAATTGCATGCTTTTTAAAATTATACAACTCTATAATAACCCTAAACATATGCAGTTATATTAAAAAACAGTGTTCTGATATACATTTGCTTGTCCAAAATGGATGTTGGAGCTCGAACCCAAATTAAAAGAAAAAAATTATTCCTTTACTCCAAGTTTAATGTGGGGCAGATTTTCCATGATCTAAGTCTGTGAATAGTCGCTTCTTTAATTAGCTTCCTTCCTTCTCAGAGTCAGACAGTGCCATGAGATCGAACTCACTCTGAACCAAGCCAAGATTTTTATCCCATAACTTATCAAATGTTCTTTATGGGAGAACATTTTTAAGATTGTGATACAGAGAGAATTTAATGACACTCTTAAGATAAAGAGCAAGTATAATATTTACCATAATAACATAAATATGTACATATGATATAAATTTTGAGGTACAAGATTGGAGACCCTGGAATATGAATAAGAGAGTTGAGATGCATTTTTCCCCGAATGTAAGCATATTTATAAGCCCTTTCATTTTAGGAAATCCCTCAGGTTTACCCTTCTCAAGCTCTCACCTGTACCCGCTGCTGGTTTTCCTGAGATTATCCCCCTGGAGACTGTAATCACTGCTCGCATCTTCGAGTACCACATCAGGAAGGATTTGGATTGCAGTATCTCAGAGAGGAATAAATATAGAAGCAGAAGAAGCTGCCCCAAAGTAAGACTTTATCAGAGGATAAACTACGTAATGTATGTTACCAGCACTTGGGTTTCAAAGCAGAATGCTTTTTAAGGGCTTGCTTTCCACTTTTGCCCTCACTGTGGTTGTAGCACTTTGCCACAGCTTGGCCTGTTTCCTAAACATAATTGTTTCCATGGCCAGAAATAGATAATGAATCTTGTAAACACACAGAGAAATTTTAGGATCACTCGGTGAATGGAAGCAGAACTTTGCATCCTTGCAATTTTAGGCTAATGCTCATCAGTGCCTAAACCTCACATGAGCCCGCCTCTCTTTACTTAGTGAACCAAACAGGGTTTTTAATAAGATCCTTTTCTGTGCATTTTCTCTCTCTCTCCTAGTATTTTTAAAATGTAGCTCTTTGCTCCATACCCCTCCTTACTAATTCTGTTTTCTGCTACTCTTTCCCTTCATTCCTACTTTCCTTCTGCCCCTGAATCCTTCACATTTCTTGCCAGGGCCATTCCTTTCATTTCCAACTGTCTTTTCACTGGTCATTGGGCTCATTCAGTCCTGCCCTGCACAGTTTTGTGGGGGTTTTTTCCAACTAGCTCTTTCCCCCCACTTTGCTTCTCTGTTCCACCTAGCTCTGTCTCCACCCCAGGCTGCCCCCATTCTTCTTGCTGCTCCAGAAGAGACACTCTGCTCTCAAGCACCAGCCTGGAACTTTTCAAAGAACTTTTTAAAGTTCCTGGGTGTCATGTCTCTCTCTCTCTCCTCCATGAGTGGCGATCGGAGCCAGTTCACATGTGTCGGAGTTGAGGTGGGTGGAAAAAGCCTTTGGTTTTGCCTGCTGAGAGATTACCGCTTCCTTGTGGTGGAGATATTGTGCTCTTTGATGGCCTACAGTGGGGCTGTCACTCTCCGCCAGGTTCAGAGCATTTTTTTTATTGTCCCTGTCAGTTGGCAGCCCAAGGTTACTGCCAGCCCTCTGTCAGGGCTTTGATTTCCGTCAGCTATGGCCAGGTCCTTTTAGTTATCTGCTATCTTTTCAGCTTTGTTCAGGCTGAGCTCTACTTGTCTACTAATTAGCTCTTTGGAGATTTCCCTTTTAAAACTCACTATCACAGAGGACAGGAACCGTTCAAAAGTTTTGTGCTTCACAGAAATTCCATATTCATCCATATCTTGTGCAGCCGTTTCTTAAAAATTAAAAGTGGCAGGTCAGGCCAATTTAAGGTCTGGAAGCAATGCTGCCTGTAAGGGGGGACCTTCGGGTTCTTGATCAGGTATGTAGATGAGTGACAGGCAAAGGGAAGGGTTTACATCAAAAAACACAGAAGGGTACAAATTAAAAAGAAACTATCACTCTGTCTAACACAGTCACATGTTCTTTATCTTCTGGTGTGCAAATATTGTGCTAGCTGAATATAAAAGCAGCACAACTTTAGGGTACAAAAAAAAAAACCCACACTGTGATAACATCAAGAGTGGTCTTACATCAAGGAGGGCCCTGAGGATGTCTTTGTTGTCAACTTCAGAAGGAAAGAGAGGAACAGAGGAGGAAACTGGCAGAAGGAATAGATGCCAAAGAGAACTCAAAGGATTAGGTCCGGGTGAGGTGATCGGTATTCGAAAGCAGTCTGCCTTCTGGCTCTGATCTAAGGGGACAGGCTGGCAGCCAAGCCAGAGGGCATAGCAGCACAAACACATCTTCGGCGCACTGCTCGGGGGTTGCCTCAGTGCCTTTGAAATTGTGCTAGCAATTAGAAATAAAGCCAGAGCAATAGGCAAAAATACTCTTGTTTCTAGGTAAAACTCTGCTTTTTACATAATTCCCACCCCGACTGGCCCCTCCACAGAAATACCCCTTTCTTTTCTTTTCTGCTGGCACTCCTTCTTTTTCTGAGGCTCCTGAGTACATTTTTCTTCTGCTAACTTAGTGCTGTTGTATGTTGCGCTTACATCGCATTTACACACTGTTAATGCCTGCAAGATGAAAGTAGAAACCTTTGAATATATTAATGCTATAACACAGATGTCTTACTTTTTACTCTCCTTCTTTTTTTTTCCCCAGCAAGTTGATGTGGCTAATAATGATGCAGATTGTGCTGGATGGGTATGCAGATGAAACAGGGGAATACAGATTAAATAAAAATTTCTTCAAAGCCTACGTTTGCTTCATAATTTAACTTCTGGGCTTGTCTCAGTGGTAGTAGGTGCGACCAAGCTTCAGAACATTGTTCTGAAGCATCTTGGCATCACAGAGGAACAGCCACCCAAACGGCATTGCTGTACCTCTTCGAGGCCAGAAGAAAATAATAACTGAAAAAATAAGCCCTGCCAGTGGCTCTGCAGAGAGAGGCTTGACCCCACTGCTGGTAACGTGGAGCTGTGAGGAGTGAGGGATGAAGGTTCAGTGCTTAACAAGCAGTCTGCTCAGATATGGCACTTTGCTTTCTGTAGCCACATTCGAGCCATCAGCAGCTTCTTCTTCCCCATACTGAATGTGGTGGGTGCCAGAGGTGGTCACACACTCACTCTGGAGACCTCCAGGAAATGACTCCATCACTGAGCTCTTTTAAACAATGAATGACAAGAGGTACTGATGAGATA